ATGCTTTGCTTAACAACAGAGATGTGTTCTGAGAAATGCATCCTTAGGTGATTTTGGCATTGTGTGCACATCACAGAGCATATAGATGACAGAGCCTACTTCACACCTAGGCTATATACAAAAGTGTACAGCGGGTCACTGTACTGAATACTGCAGACAATTCTAACATATTGGTGAGTATTTATATATCTAAACAGTAGAAAAGAAGCTACATTATCAATTAAAATGATGATTTTGTCTGAGCTGCCTGGTGCCTGGTGGCTTCAGTCACACAATAGCAGGAACTAGAATTTACTCTCCTTTGAGGCTCTCTTTTGCTTATCTGCTGTCACCTGATCCCCAGCTGTGGCTTGAGCTCTGCTGTAGAGTTCTGTTTGCTTTTCTGTGGGTTCTTACCCTTAGATACCTAAACATATCTAAACAAAGAAAAGGCACAGTAAAAATACAGCATACAAATTTTAAAAAATTATATACTTGTATAGTGCATTTGCCATAAATGGAGCTTGCAGGACTGGAAGCTGTTCTGGGTAAATAAGTGAGTGGTGTGTGACTGTGCAAGCCTAGGACATTACTGTATAGTACTGTAGACTATAAACACTGTACATTTAGGTTACGCTAAACTTATTAAGTAATTGTGCTAGAACATTACAATGGCTACAACATCACTAGGTGATAGGAATTTTATGGCTCCATTATAATCTTATGTAGCCACCATCATATATGTGGTCCTTCGTTGACTGAAATGTCCTTTTGCCCCTTGTAACCGTACTAAATACTAGAGAAGTTGTGTAGAAAATCAGAACACGCTGAAATGTCGTGACTCCAGTTCTAGTCCTGTGTCATTAACTAGCTGGGTGCTTGACCAGGCACGTCACCTTTCTGGGTCTCACTTTTCTTACCAGCTAAATTACAGAATTAAACTAGATCACTTTGGAGATTATTTCTATCTCATTCTGACAGTCTACCGATAGAGTCTACAACAGCTTTGTCCATTGGAAAGACATTTGTGAGCCACAAATATAATTTTAAATTATAAATGTACACGTAGCCATGTGAAAAATGTAAGAAGAAATAGGTGAAATTAATTTTAATAATACTTACATTACTTAAAGCAACATATCCAACATTCTATTTTTTCAGCATTTGATCAATATAAAATTATGGAGTTATTTTACCTTTGTTTTATCATACTAAGTCTTTGAAATCCTAATGTATATTTTACACTTACAGCATATCTGAGTTCTGATTGGCTGCTTTTTGAGTACTCAATAATCACCCGTGGCTAGTAGCTATTGCATTGGACAACTCAGATCAATAGTGTTAAGCTAGAGAAAAACTTCCATTAAATGAAAAGAACACTTTCTCGGCAACATTTGCGACATGTGAAAACTTTTAGAGTAGAAAAGAAGCAACATTATCAATTAAAATGATGAGTTTGGCTGAGTTGCCTGGTGCTTGGTGGCTTCAGCCACACAATAGCAGGAGCTAGAATTTACTCCCTTTTGAGGTTCTCTTTTGCTTATCTGATGTTACCTGATCCCCGGCTGTAGCTTGAGCTTTGCTGTAGAGTTCTGTTTACTTTTCTTTGAGTACTCACTCAGACTATGGTCACTACTGTCCTAAAAGATCACATGGCCTCAGCAGAGGAGGGTGCAGCAGGTGCTGACCTTCCCACCCTGGCCTCACCTCAGGGATCTCTGCTATTCATCCTTTTATTCCTAACTTATCCTTAGCAACACCAACATGTGGCTGCTGTGTGTGTGCATTACACGTCATTAATAGTGTAAACATATCTTGAACATATTAAACATTATGGTGGGAAGTTGAAGTTAGGTGATACATAGGACTGTTTTCAAAGTCAAAAAGAAAAAAAAATAGAGGAATTTTCTCATGGTAGGGCTGCCAGATAAAGTGCAGAATGCCCAGTTAAGTGTGTGAATTTCAGATAAAAAACAAACACTTTTTAGTGTAAGCATGCCCCAAACATTGCATGGGATACACTTACACTAAAAAAATCATTGTTTATCTGAAATTCAAACTCAACCAAGTATCCTTTCTTTCTTTTTCTTTCTAAATCTGACCAGCTTTCTTCATGGATAGACTCAGTTCAGTTGTGATTGATCCTTAAAGTGACAGCCCCACCTTGTTTTTTTTTTTTTTTTTCTTTTAATGTTTCACTGTTAATCTCATACCCTTCAAGAAAGCGTTTTTATGCTTTAGATTGGTCTTCTGCTCAGTCATTTCTTCCACTATTTTTCGGTGATAGCAATTCATGGCAGAACATTTTCTAGGGTCTAATATCTTCACATAGAGGTCACCGAAGACCTCTAATGATACCTTTTATGGGCTTTGAAATTAAAAGTCCAATTGTGTTTGGGTAAGTACTTCTCCCAGTGTGAGTTCAATACATCACGGCTTCTTTCTTCCTTCTTCCAGCCTCAAGACCAAGTCTTCAGAAAGGTCTTTGAACAACACACACAAGCATAATATCTGCACAAAGAACACTCCAAGCAGTAGTTCTAAGAAACTGCAGTCTAAATCCATAATAATAAAGGAAAAAAGTGACTTCCTAAATTAACATAGTCTGTAAAGATTTCACTTTCCAAATGAAGAAAGAACTTTTTCTTTTATTACATGAAGCAGTTTTCACTTTACTTTCTCAGCCACCAGCTTTCAAACTGCTCAGTGGTTAACTTGAACCAGAAAAGGAAGTCTGCCTACTGGTTTACCTGGACCAGACCCCATAAAGGGTTTTCTCCAAAAACAGCAGCTCTCTTCACAGCTGCTGCTGCCTCTCTCACCAGGACCTGCAACCACCTGCCTCAGGCACTCACATACACTAAGAAGGATGAAACAGCTGCGGTTTTAAAGTAGCTCTTCTTTCTCCTTTTTGTCCTGGTACACAAGGAATTGTTGGTAATTTTGCTCCAAAGTAGAGTATCTGAGTCAGGTTAGATTGCCTTTGTATGGATATAGGACTAACTCCAGGCAAAACTGAGGAGTAAGGCCAGCACTTTCTTTTGAGACGGAGTCTTGCTCTATCGCCCAGGCTAGAGTGCAGTGGTGTAATCTCAGCTTACTGCAACCTCCACCCTCTGGGTTCAAGCGATTCTCCTGCGTCACTCTCCTGAGTAGCTGGGATTACAGGTGCCCGCTATGTACCCAGCTAATTTTATTTTGTATTTTTAATAGTGATGGGGTTTCACCATCTTGGCCAGGCTAAGGACAGCACTTTTATCTCTCCTCTTAAACTCTTTTCATTCCTCTACATACTCACGCTACTGGCCTTCATGATTCTGGCCTCTCAGTACCCTTTGTGGTACCATCACAACTAATCTCTGATACATTATTTACATAGAGCCAAGTGTTACTATATAAAGGTTCATTCATAATAGGAGTTTGCAAACTTTATATTGTGAATGCTTTTTGATGATCTGATGAAGATGAGGAATTCTTTTCCTAGAACAAGTGCCTACAGAAACGTGCACGTGTGTGTATGTGTGTGTGTGGTGTAATGGAGTATTATTATTATTTTTTAAGAGATGAGGTATTGCTCTGTTTCCCAGGAAGGAGCGCAGTAGCCTGATCATAGCTCATGGCAGCCTCCAGTGAGGAGGCTGGACTCAACCAATCCTCCTGCAGGGAGCATCCTCAAGCATCCTGAATAGTTAGGATGTTAGGCATGTGCCACCAAGCCCCGCTGATATTTAAAACAGTTTTTTTTTTTTTTTTCATAGAGACAGACTCTCATTATTTTGCCTGGTTGGGCTTGAACTCCTGGCCTCAAGTGGTTCTCTTCCTTTAGTATCCCAGTGTGCTGGGATTATAGGTGGGAGCCACTATTTGTGGCTATGAGGGACTATTGACTTAGTATAATAATATTAAGAAATGATAAGAAGAAAGTAGTTGATAAAGCAGGAGAATTACATTTTGCTCATTCCTAGCCTGTGCTTGAAAAGTGTGAGTTTCTCTGTGGAAGATCAAGGGGCATGAAACCCTGGTCTTAACATTCATGTGTAAGCATGCCTCGCCTCACACATTCTGAGGCAGTTCTTGAAAAATCATTAAAGGTTTCTGGGCATATATACATCCCTGTGCATATAACATTTCTGTTCTCTCTCCCTTACCACCAATTTGATTCTGGAGAAAAGCAAAACATAAAACCTCTATGAAGAAAAAAATGAGTTACTCTAAAGAAGGACACCCAAAATTTTGGGTGGTGATAAAACTTATAAAGGGAATTATCTGTACATATATGAATTTTACACAGGTAATTTATATGTGTAAATATACCTCTAATTAATTGTACATGTATAAATACACCTCTAAACCTCAGGTTGTATTTTGGTAGTGTCTGCTCAGACCATATTCTTTCTTTTTCAACATATGGTAAAAAATGTCCAGTCTATTGAAAAGTTTATAGAATTTTAGACTAAATGCCCATAAATTCACTACCTGTATCATCAACATTTTATTACACTAACTGCATATCTAACCATCTGCCAATCCCTGTCTTTATACATCCATTTATCTTAATTTTGATGTATTTTGAAGTAAATTACAATTTAATACACTTCTCAATTATATTACCATGCATATCGTTATTAGAGTTCAATATTTATTTAAATGTTTTTTCTTTTTAAAAGGATCCTTCATTTTGTACACAGTTGGCATCTGTCATTGACTCCCTCTTCACTCAAAAGTATAGAGACCAAAGTGAGGTCAATAATTCATAGCTCCATGTGGACTTCTCTAGTGATGTAGAGTAACTCGCTGACCATCAAATACTTGTTCCCCTTCCATTGATAGAACTGTTGCTGGGAAGAAGTTGCCAAGTCAGAGTCTATAATCCCTCTACCCTTTGCATCTAGATGAGGCTGTGTCACTAGATTTTGCCAATGGATTATAAGTGAAAGAGTTGCATGTTATTTCAAGCCTAGATGGTGAAGTAAGTCTGAGCTACCCCAAACTCTTTTCATCATTTACTGACTAGAATTCAGGAGTCCCTAATCTTTTGACTTTCCTGGGCCATATTGAAAGAAGTAGAATTGTCTTGGGCCACACATAAAATACACTAACAATAGCCAATAAGCTTAAAAAACATACACATGTACACACAAAAAGTCTCAAAATGTTTTAAGAACGTTTATGAATTTGTGTTGGGCTGCATTCAAAGCCATCCTGGGCCACATGTGGCCCTGTGGGCCATGGGTTAGACAAGACTGGACTCGATGATATCAGGGTGACTTGAAGATGCTAGACTGCAAAATACAGACTGAAGTGGCTTGGGTTCTTGAGTCACTATTTGAAGCTGAGAGTATGATTTAATTGAAAAATAAACTCTATTTTATTAGGCTAGAGAGATTAGGGGTAGATTGATATTGATGAAGTGCCAAACTGAAAGTAGTGTTTAGAATATGGCTCAGAATCAAGGCTAGCACACTGGCAATGTGGATAGCCGAGCTGAGGTATTGGGTGGATTCAGAGATATGGCATTGGGTAGAATATAATGAAGGAGGAATCACTCTGTAAGTTCGTCTTTTCTCTTTAACTTTCACATCCCCACAACCCCCTAACCTCTTTTCTCACTATTCCTCCTGCCTCTGTTTATCCTGATTGAAAAATCTCGTGATGTGTTTGACCTCCTGAAAGAATAAGTTACTAGTAGGTGACAGTCATGTTTCTTGAACCCATGATGGCATTCTTCCTCTTATGCTATGGATAACTCCTGTCTCTGATTATCATTGTTACAGTATCATGTCTATTTAGCATTCCTGCATCCTCATCCAAATGTTTGACAATGTGATATTCTAATCTAGCTTCCTGAGCTTCCATTTAGGTGTAGACACTCTTGAAATACAGAGTTGCCCTTTTCCCCAATACTTCCTTCTCTATGCAGTATCTTTTCCCTTCAAGCTGGATATTTTCTCCTTCTACCATCATTTGTCAACAATCCTGCCAAGTCTCAGTGATATTTATGATGTTGTATGGATTTCATTGGGTTAAATGTCTCAAGTTCATTTTATTCATTACCCGTACTTCTTTCATTGCTATAGTCACTCTGAGGATGTCAGATTTACCCTATGATTCTATTCTCTGTTATTTCCTTTTATAAATTACTTGAAATCTTCTCCATTGCTTCTTTCTCCCTCCTCCCACTAATTTATAACTAATAACCTCCAAGGGCAGTGTTCTATAGTGCAAGCTGGGTATTTCCCCCCTCCTTTCTCAAGTTTCAATTGAAATCTCTCTGTATCCTGTTGGCATGTCTCCTAGAAAACATATTCTTCTCAGGTCCCATGAGATAAACTCTGTTTCTGCCAGGAGCATTTCATTTTGGTGTCATAAGTCAGGATCTAAAAAAAAGCATATTATTTTTTTAACACAATCTCTATAGCTAGCTGTTCATGTTTTGTAACCTCTAGCTGATTCTAAAGCCATGACCTTTAACTGGAAACAGAAATAAAAAGTTCGCCTTTAGCCTTAAGCAATTTTGGTTTTAGCATAATAATTTATGAAAACTAGAGACACTTTTGCCCATTTTTAGTAGAATAATTTGATCCCACATAGTTTCCAGGTGATACAGATATCTGCTATATCTGTTATGATTAGTTCAAAGGAATTATAACATGAATATATAAAAAGCATTGTACACAATGAATGGCTGTGAGTTGTAGGTTCCAGTTGGCTAAGGGCTGAGGCTAGGATAGGCTGCTTTGTGGAGTCAGTAAACTTCAATTTCTAGTAGTGCTTAGCCTAGTCCACTTATGTGTAAACTTCCGTAACTCTCATTGAAAGATAACTTGAGGCTTATTAATAATTAGGCTTCAAAAATGACAACTAAGTTTAGTGGGCAAGAGAGAGTAGTGGTCATAAGAGCTAGACGGCAGGTGGATGATGTGTAAAACTAATCCTCCATGAAGAAAAAAGCCACCTGAACTGAGTTATTAGGCATGACAGTTCAGACTAAGCAGCTAGACTTGACTGTGGGAAGAGAACAGAAGGTAGCCACAAAACACTAGAGAGAACGGAATTGATTAGCTCAGTTTTCTTAGAGGCACTTATCTCCCCAGGAAAGATGGGGACTCTAAGATAATGCTAAAATAACCTTATTATTATGGGGCATACAAATTCTGTAGTTGTTTACAAAAGGGGATTTACCTTTTGGATGACTGTGTCAGCACCTGAGATCAAGAGATAGTGGCAATACACAGGGACTATAAATGGCAAGAGCAAAGTCAAAAACAGAACAACAAAAGATATATCAACATCATTATGAGAACAAATAATTCCAGTGCCATTAAATCTACAAGCAAAGGCAATGATGGACAATATCTAAGATGAATGGCAAAGAGCTCCAAGAGCAGAGGGGAAGCAAAGATTCTCATTTTTAAAAAAATATTTGTTTTAATCAGGTACAGTAAGATGGCAGACCAGAGACAACTGCCTTTAGAAGAAGAGCTTATTACTCACAGTTCTCAAGATGAGAACGTGCACCATGCCACACAGGGCCACATGAGGAGCCACAGGCTTAGTCAGAAGGCATAAGGAAAAAGGCGGAAGCATGGGTCTGAGTCTTGATTCCTATAGTGGTGAAAACTGTAGGTGGGGGTGTCTCCAATTAGGCAGAAAACAAAGCATAGATGTTGGGGTTTGTAGTTAGTAAAATCTTAGTCTGTTGACATGGCCCTATAACACTGTATGCCAAAATGTCAATCCCCCAGAATCTCAAGAACTATTATTACACGCAGTAGTGGTGCAGATTGTCTGACAAACACTACTTTGGTATCTTTGGAGAGAAAACAGAAAAGGAAGGAGCTGAGAAGATATAGAAAAAGTGGCCTTAGGAAAAACAGAGAGCCTCTCACTGTTGGGAAAGAGAGAACAGTTTGCTTACACTTGGACACATGTGAATTAATGGAGACTTGATGAGGTCTCTTATCTAACAAAGACATTTTGCCAGTCTTGGACTACTATTGGATCAATGCCGATATTTTGAAAGTAGACAGACCCTAGCACTAATTGAAGAACATAAATGTTAAGGCATTTATCCCTTGAAGACACAGATGAAAGTAGGAAGAAAAAAAGGATTTTCCTATAACTTGGTGAGCCTGACACAATATGCCAAGGGGAGAGATGTTTTTTCCCTTTATCATAGAGTTAACCATTCTTGTAGGTGTCAGTAATTCTTTGAATATTCACAGATAGTTTAAATTAGTACAAAGTGATAAAACGAAGAACAATATATGAATAAAAATATCCTGGGACTGGAGGAATAAACATTATAATAATGTCAAGTTAATGTAAAATGTTAACACAGTCAGTTTTTTTTTTTAATGGAGATAAGTTATTTATAAAGTTAAAATGGAATAATAAGCATCCAAGAGTAGTTATAGACAATGAAATAGAAAAATAATATGTAGATCCTAGGCATATCAAATATTAAAACATATTATAAAGCCTCTACAATTAAAATGACATGATTTTAGTTCATGAACAGATGAAAAGCAAAGGGTACAGACATTCTACAATCAACATTCTAGAAACAGACAAAATGCATATAAATTTTTTATGTTTAATAAATGTGACATCTCAAACCAATTGAGAAAATGTAGACCCTCTAATACAAAATGTTGGGACAATTAGTAAGACATTTGAGAAAGATGTTTTTCTTACTTCATCCATACAGAGGAGTTCGAAATGACACAGTGGTAATAGTATTAAAAAGAATAAAACCATACATGCCACCAGAAGAAAATACAGGCAAATACTTTTATAAGTTAGGAAATAGGAAGATGAGAAAAAGCCTAACCATGACTGTGAGAGCTACATTCCTTCTGTAGGCTCTGTTCCCTGTCTTCTCCAGCTTTTTAGAAGCTGCTGTGTTCCTTGGTTCATGCTACATGCCTCTGACTTCTATTTCCATGTTAACATCTCCCCTGGCTCTGGCTTTCCTGCCTTCCTCTTATAAGGAATTTTGTGATTAAATTGAGTTCACCAGGATAATCTCCCCATTTCAATATCCTTAACTTATTAATATCTGCAAAGTCTTTTTTGCTGGGTAAAATAACTAACTCACAGATTCTGAGACATGGTATCTTTAGGAGGCTACTATTCTGTCTACATAGTCTTTTATCTGACCCTCAAAGAGTCACAGCCATCCCACATATCAAATATATTCATCCCATTTCAAGGTTCCCAAAAGTCCCATTACTGCATGAACTCAAAGTTCAAACTTTCATTTAAATCTCATCATCTCAGAGTCCCAAATCTCATGATCTAAATCAGGAAAGGGTGAGACGTGGACTTACGTAATACTAAGAAAGAAGTTATCTACTTCCAGAATACAATGGCAGAGGAAGGCAAGCATAGAGTAGCAGTTTCAGACATTTCCTTTCAAAAAGGGAGAAAATTGAAGGGAATAAGGAGACGTTGTTCTTAGGTATTTTGAAATAAAACTGGGCAAACTCCATTAGGTTTCAAGGCCTTTAATTAAGCCTCTGTGGTTTAACACTCTGCCCCTTGGACTCAAAGCCCCACCCTTAGAGTCATTCTTTATTTTATGTGAAGGACAGCATGTATTTTCCACTGAGTTGTTTTACCAGCTTGTTTCCTGAATGTTGCAATTCCAAGAAGGCAGTTGACAACCTTTTATTTTTACTTTGTCCTCTATCTGTCCCTTTTAATCCAAGCTGGCAGTATTTCTGTTAGTATAAAATTCTCAAGTACCTTATCTTTCAAGTACGCCACAGGGATTCACTCAATTAGATGAGAGGCTCCTCCATAGATGTACCCTAGACAATCTCACCTGTATCGTGGTTTTTACTGAGTTGATTGAAAGTTTCTGTGAGTAACAAGCCTGTATATATATTCAACAACATGGATGAATCTCAAATGTGTTATGGTGAGTGAAAGAAGCCAAGGTCATTTATATAACATCCTATAAAGGCAAAACTACAGGGATGGAGAACAGATTAGAGGTTGCCAAAGGTTTCAGTGGGGTGAGGGTGGGGAAGTTTGATTGAAAAAGGTAGCAGGTAAAAGGGAATGATGTGATGATAAAGAACAATATAGTATTGGAAGTTCTAGCCAGA